TTGATTTATATCCCAATTGTAATGGGCAGCAAGGGATAACAAGATTCTCACTGTATTCATCTTTGCAACTGGAGCAAAGGTTTCTTCATAATCAATGCCATAGGTTTGAGTGTAACCTTTGGCCACTAATCGAGCCTTATATCTCTCAAGAGTGCCATCAGAATTATATTTCAGGGCATAAACCCATCTGCACCCTACTGCTTTCTTTCCGTTGGGTCTATCAATAACCTCCCATGTTTTATTTTTCTCCAAAGCATTCATCTCCTCTTGCATGGCTTGAGCCCAATTCCTATCTTTCAAGGCTTCATGTACTGATTTTGGGATTGCAATAGAATCTAGTGCTGAAACAAAGCTTTTGTGCTGAACAGAAAGATTAGCAGAGGAAACAAAGTGGGAGATATGGTATTGAGTACAAGAGGGACAGGAGGAACAAGTTTTCTTGTGACAAGATCTTTTTCCTTTTCTAAGAGCAATAGGTAAGTCATCAGAAGTAGAAGCAATGGGTAAGTCATTAGAGATATCAGAAGAAATAGACAAATCATGAGAGGAAATAATATTAGAATCAGAAACAGGAGATTCAGGAGACTCAGAAGAAATAGGAGATTCAGGACTTACCAGTGGTTCAGACGATTGAGGTTGCTGGTGAGACAGTATGGGTTGTATCTCAGGTGTATTTGAAGGTTCTGACACACCAGGAGAAGACACACTAGGAAGAGAGAAGATTGATCCAGACTCAAAGAAGGAAGGGGACGAGTCTTCTGAAGAACTATTCTCCCCCTGACGATGAGGACCCAGGAAATAAGATTCAGATTCTTGAAAGGTGACATCCATAGAAACAAAAAATTTCCGACTTGGTGGATGATAACACTTGTACCCTTTTTTATAAGGGTTATAACCAAGGAAGACACACTTAAGAGCCCTAGGATCCAACTTACTCCGATGTTGTTTATGAACATGGACAAAAGCAACACATCCAAACACTCTTGGTGGAAGCCTCTGCAATATGGGAACATAAGGAAAGAAGGAAGTCATGGAATGAATAGGACTGATATTGTTAAGGACCCGTGAAGGTAAACGGTTGATCAAAAAAGTTGCAGCTAATACTACTTCTCCCCAATAAGAACTAGGAACAGATGTCTGAAAAAGTAGTGCTCTAGCAACTTCAAGAAGGTGACGATTTTTCCTTTCAGCAACCCCGTTTTGTTGAGGGGTATCAACACATGTGAGCTCATGAATCATACCTCTGTCTGAAATGAATTGTGACAGGCGTTGATTGACGTACTCAGTACCATTATCAGATCTGAGTCTTTTAATACCCTTACCAAACTGAGTCTCAACCATGTGATGAAACCGAATAAATATCTCTGGTACTTCAGACTTGTCTTTCATCAAGTATATCCATGTTATCCGAGTACAATCGTCAATAAAAGAAACAAACCACCTAGCACCTCAAACACTGTGCACTTTAGAAGGGCCCCAAACATCAGAATGGATAAGAGAAAAAGGTTCCCTGCTTTTAATAGTGCTAGAAGGAAATGACACTCGATGGTGTTTTGCAAATTCACAAACATCACAATGAAAGGTCTCAACCGACTTATTGAGAAACAGAGAGGGGAACATAGACTTCAAAAGACTAAATGGTGGATGCCCGAGACGCTTGTGATGGAGCCAAATCATAGACTCTGCAGTAGAAGGATGACGTGTCATTAATAACTGATTTTTGCTAGCATGGTCTGGAAGGAGATGATACAACCCATCCTGTTCATTAGCAACTCCAATTGTCTTCTTCGTGGTAAGATCCTGAATAAGACAATGAGAAAGAAAAAATGTGATAGAACAATTCAAATCAGTTGTAAGTTTTTGAGTGGAGATAAGATTAGTAGAAAGCTGAGGAACATAAAGAACATTTTTAAGAAACAAGGAAGGTTGAATTTGAATGTTACCAGAACCAACTGATTTATGGGATCCATCAGCTACGGATATAGTATGACTACCAACAGTAGGATGATAAGAACAAAACAACTCAGTATGACAAGCCATATGATCAGTTGCACCAGAATCCAAAATCCATGAGGTTTTAAAATCAGTGCAAGAAGCAAGAAGAGATATAGAACGTGTGCTCTTACCAGATAAGATCGAAGAACTATCATGCTCGGCCATTCTTTAACAAAAAAAGTTAACAACCAGCGATAAAATCAACCAAACAGAATATCAAATGACCTCTGATCAGAAAAATAATTACAGATCCAGACAGAAGACAAGAAGACGAGAAGAATGGTGGTGGTCCGGTCCAAAAACACGGCCGCACGCGCCGGAGAAAGGAGCTGCGCGTGGGATTCACTCGCCGGGAAAGGGGCGGCGCGTGAGAGCGCGTGGATGGGCTTCGCCGGCTGAGATTTTTCTGGTGTGGTCGTCCGGTGAGCGCGCACCTGTCTGTGGGTGGTCGCGGTTGAAAAGTCGCCGAAAAGTGGTCCAAACGGTGAAGACAGATCTGATTGGAGGCGGTCGGAGGTGTTTTGGTCGTTTGTGGCGGAAGAACACTGCGTAGAATGATAGATCGGAGGAAAAATAAGGTCAACAATGGTCCCCTTGGTCCAAAAGGTCCCCGGAAAAATTTTCCGGTGGCGGCTAATGGCGGCAAGAGGCAAAGAAATTAGGGTTTTTAAAAAAGAAGATAATATGTGCGGAAGCAAAGCCCTCAGATCGAGAGCTCTGATACCAACTTGAAAAAGGGTATTCTAATATATTATAGAATTGTAAATAATCTGTACAAAGGGTTCTCTATTTATAGAGAATATTTGACCTACTTTTAACCTAATGGGCTTGGCCCAATACAACAAAGGGCTTGGCCCAATACAACAATAAATGACTAAATAAAAACTAAATAAAAACTAAATCAATATTATTTACAACATTTTTCTAGAGAATTTTTGAATGATTATAAATATTGTTTTCTCTGCCACATACCGTTCAAACAACACGAATAATTATCGGGGTCATTTTAGAAGTACACTCTAACTCAGTAACTTTGAATAAAATTTAATTGCAATGTCAATAAATTGAAACTTAAATTCGTCCCCTTTTAGAGGACTTTACTTAACCATCATATCTCACTAAAGGGTTTGGTATTTAAGCCTGTTTGATGTGATGTATAAGGCCTGATAGTATAAGTTTACACTATACGCATGACATTTTTAGTCATTTGGTGTGACTATTTTATAGTATAAATTTATACAACAAAATCCCTTAATATATTAAAATGACGTACAATTTAATCAGGCCTAAGGGGTGAGATTAGGCCTGATAAGAGATTAGGGATGTTCGCGGTTTGGATTGGATCAGTTTTGAAGCAAAAATCATCCGATGTAATCCCTTTCGGTTTGGATTTTTTTTAAAATCCAATCCAATCCAATTTTATTCGGTTTGAATTAGATCGGTTTTTGATTTTTCAAAAAGCCTAAAATTTTAGTCATATAAATCATTAGCTATACCAAATAAAGCCATTCAAAGTTACAAACCTTTGAAAATTCTAAGTCTTCAAACTAAAACAAGTATTAAAAATCATGAATAGTTAAAATAGATTAATAGACAATAAAAAATCAAAACAAGATAATTTGCTATCAATAACATCCAAGATTCCAAATCTACAAAACAACATGATTCAAAGTTACCATATTTCAAAAAGAAAAATACATACTACATTGGATCAATTTGGATTAGATCAGTTTTCACTAACCTAACCGAAAACTGATCCAATCCAGTTAAAATATGCGTGATTTTTTTTCGGTTTTTGGTTTTTGGATTTTCGGTTAATTCGATTAACGATTTTTCGATTCGATCATTGCAGTTTGAATCGGTTGATGAACACCCTTATAAGATATTGATGTATTAGGTTAATCCCTTTCCATCTTTCTCTTCCCCATTGTAACAATTTTTCCTCTTTTCTTCTTCTTCTCCCTTTCTTTACCAAACATTGTGTTGATCATGTTCATGAATCATGTTCTTCTTGCTCTTCTTCATATGATATATTTGAAAGAATTGTATAAATTCTTTATCAAAGAATTTTTTTGTTAAGAATATTTATTTTTATCCTTTCTAGTATTATATAGTATATTATCAAATACTGAATAATATTATCTTATACAATATATTATTTTATACAATATCATCCCAAACGCTGGATAATATTAAAATTTAATTAGGCTTTATATTATCAGATCATATACTATCAAACTTTATCTTGTCCAGTACACCAAACATACCCTAAAACTATGTATGTGGTGATATTGGATGAAGACAAAAAAAAATAAAAATGAAATGAATTATTGAACGACATGTTTTATCTTTTTTGAATTTATTTAAGGGTTTAAATTGTCTCCTTTTGTAGGAGACAATTATCTTAGGCCAGTGAGACATAGAAAATTGTGCTATTTTATTTTTATTTTTAAAAAATGATGGGATCACATAATTTGTTTCTATGACATGATGTAAGTTGTCTTCTATTAAAAGAGATTAATAAATCTCTATATTTAAAGGGTTTATTGTCTCTCATGTTATAGTAAATAATTTTATTTTCTACACATGCATAAAAGTGTGTGAGATCCATATTTTTTTTTCTTCTCTTTACATAGCCCATATGGATCCTATACACTTTATGTATGTATGAGATATTTTTTTTTCCTGCATCGTCACAAACATCAAACTTGTTTAAATTAGATTGTTTTACATTGTAATGTGTTTCAATTTATGGTCGTCAAATATTAAGTGGGTGCCTGGGTGGGGTCACACACGTGATAAGAAAAAACAACAAAAAGCCAGTGGCAACTTATAAAGTCCGGAATTTCTAATGCAAGTTAAAATTTAAACGCAACTGTCAACATCACCATTTGTTCCAAGCGTGGACTATAGAATTCCACCTAACACATAGTTTTATATTAGTAATAGGACAATCATTTATGCCTTTAATATAATAATCCTTTGCATTCAACCTTCATCCCCAATTAAACCAAAAACTTCTCACATCTTACATGCTCCCTAATACATTTACTATGATTGCAACAATAATTATTGTTGTTGCACTAACACTTGTAGGTGTGAGTTCAGTTCCAGAAGCTGATAAGATAAGCACTTTGCCAGGGCAGCCACCGGTCAAATTTGAGCAATATTCTGGTTACATAACCGTGGATGAGCAGCAGCAGAGAGCATTGTTTTACTACTTTGTTGAAGCAGAAGATGACCCTGCTTCCAAGCCACTAGTCCTTTGGTTGGAAGGAGGTATACGTCTTGTTATGTATCATATATACACACACACACACACACACGTGATTTTGTTTATTTATTTATTTTGGACTCTGACATCACCTATTTAGACTGAATGAAGCAATTGAGATGCTTTCTTGGTTTTGAGTTTTGAAGGGCCTGGTTGTTCGTCTCTAATTGGAGCTTTTGTTGAGCATGGCCCTTTCAAACCGGGTGACAATCTTCTGGTGAAAAATGATTACAGCTGGAACAAAGGTGATATTCATAAACCAACATAATTTTTAGTTTTTTTTGGATAAATTACAACTCTATAGATATATGTAACTAAAAGTTTTAAACATCTCTTAATTAGGAAACTGTAATTGACATATATATATTTTTTTATCTAAAATTGCTTTCTGATTTCATCCATGTCACAGAGGCAAATATGCTATACTTGGAATCACCAGCAGGTGTTGGATTCTCCTACTCTTCCAATACATCTTTCTATGACTTAGTGACTGATGAAATTACAGGTTCTTTCACTTCATCTTCTGCACAATAGCACTTTATATAGTAACAGAAGAATCACAGTTTAATAGAAGCTTAAGATTTTATCAACTTCTTGTCTTTTATTAGACATTTCTCAACAAGCTGATGACCCTCTCGTTATTGTTCAGCTAGGGATAATCTTGTTTTCCTACAGCGCTGGTTCACTGAATTTCCACAGTACTCCAACAACGACTTTTTCATTTCAGGGTCGAGCTATGCAGGTAGAACAATTGAGATAAATAAATAACGAATATATTCACTTTGAAACTGCATATTAAGGGTAACGCACACTTGTTTGCAGGTCATTATGTTCCACAACTTGCACAACTTATTGTGGAAACCAAGACCAAATTCAATCTCAAGGGGATAGCAGTGAGTACAGAGGGGAATAATTTGAACATAAGAAACCATTTGGTTTATCTGAAAAGTATAAATGGTTGTTGTGTTGATATTTGCAGATGGGGAATCCACTTCTGGAATTCAATACTGATTTCAACTCCAAAGCTGAGTTCCTTTGGTCCCACGGACTCATAGCAGATGAAACTTACGAAGTCTTCACTAGAGCATGCAACTATTCCACAATATATAGGATTACGCAAATTCAAAATAGGAATCTTAGTGGAGTTTGTGCAAGAGTAAATAAGCTTGTTTTTACTGAGGTTAACAAATATACAGATACATATGATGTCACTCTTGATGTCTGTTTGTCATCAGTCGATCAACAGGCTTATGTACTGAATAATCTGGTGAGCTATCTAAATACAGATTTTGCATAGCCATCTTAATTCTTTTATTTTTTTTATTCCCCAGTTATTATTCATTTCATATTTTCTTTGTCTATGGTGCAGCAAGGGACAGAGAAGATAGATGTTTGTGCGCAAGATAAAACAATGACATACTTAAACAGAAAAGAAGTGCAGAAAGCTCTCCATGCTAAGCTTGTTGGAGTCACCAAATGGTCAGCTTGCAGCGGGTAACTTTTATTGCTTCAAAGATGACATATCCTAGAGTGCTTTTTATGAATGCAGATATTTAAATCTACAAAGAAAAGGAAAAGTAAAGTGCAGGATTCACCCAAACTAATAGTAACTGTTTGATCTCATTGGTTTTGTCAAAACATTTTCGTTAGATGTGCTTTCTTCCTATTTTCCCAAATATGGTAAATATTTCACTTAAGCATTTAGCAACATAAGACAGTTAATTCTAACAAAAGATTTTCGATATATGTATTTTTACCTTAGTTTAGGGTCCTTACTTTTACCTTATCTTCAAACAAGTTTCCCAGTTTAGCATTCTTTAGCAAGTCAGTTTTTTCTTTCCCTATGTTTCCATACTTTGTCACCTTTTTTTTTGGAATTATATCTCTTGCCAACATTATCTACCTTGTGTTACAGAGTTGTCCATTATGACTATGAGAATTTTGAGATACCAACAATTCCTATTCTAGGGTCACTTGTTAAGTCTGGCATCCGGATTCTAGTATTCAGGTTAGTGCATTTATTCAATCAGTGATATTTAGCTAACTCCATTTATTACCTACCTAGCATGATTCTTCAAGGCATAACATTTTTAAAGCAAACAAAATTATTTCTCTCTGTGCAGTGGAGATCAAGATTCAGTCATCCCATTACTGGGATCGCGATCACTAATAAACGGATTAGGCAAAGAACTTGGACTGAATACAACAGTGGCCTATAGAGCCTGGTTTGAGAGAAAACAGGTTAATTCTTGTAATTCAATAGATCCTGAAAAGATTGATACATGTATGCACTGTCATTTCACTCCATTTATTTGGTAAATTTCAGGTAGCAGGATGGACGCAGGTATATGGAGACATATTATCATATGCAACTATAAGAGGTGCATCTCATTTACCACCCTATACACAACCAGAGAGATCACTAGTGCTATTTAAGGCATTTCTGGAAGGAAAGTCACTACCAACAATTATCTAAAACATGAACATGTTTAATAAAACGGGTATTCCTATGTACAACAATAATTAGAAATCCTTCTAAACTGCTCAGGAAAGTGATAATTATTGGATCAGCTTTTGATTGTTATTTTGTTCTTTCAATCTTTCTATATTTTGTTGTTTTCTTTATGAACAATGAGTTAATGGTGTGCATGGTAAGAAAAACAGTACTGGCTTTGGCTATAATGATAGGTTGATTTTTGATTTTTATTTTTTTTGGGTATCCTATACGATACGTTGATTTATTAGTATATAATTTGACATGTCTAATTAGTATGTGTATACTAATAACATTTTCCGTAAGATTTATATTCTTAGTTTTGGTATTATACACGCGTACTATTGTTATTAAGAAAAAATATAAGAATTATGTAAGGGACGTTCCCAGTTAAAATTAAGATCTTAAGCCGGTACAATTAGTTGTTTTAATTTCTCAAGATTATCAACCACATGGAAGTAGCAACAACTAACTTGATTCTACTTGAATTGATGGATGTGGTTTTAGTTTCTCAACATTATCAGACAACTTACTTCTTTTACACATTTTGGTGTGATGTTGTTGCAACCGAAATTGCGAACGAACGAAAACCAAATATTCAAAAGATTTAAATAATGAAGGTCAACAATTTTATTCTAATTAAGAAAACATGGAAAATCTTTATTTTTAAAATGGTCTTTTAGATTTGAGATCTGGTTTCGAGAGTCTATAAGGAAAAGTGAAAACTTAATCTTACTGCCTCCCTGATTACCTTAGTTAATCATGCAAATTATTATTAAACTTTAAAATTATTTGCTTACTCCAAAAATAAAATTAAATGATTAGGATGATTATTTACAAGGAGAAACTAAAATTTAAAATTTTTATTTTTTAGCTTGACAGGAGAATTCCCCCCTCCAACACATCCCTTGTTACAATAGCAACTCATAATACTCATCCCATTTTAATCCAACTTAGTTAATAAAACCAACGGTATTGGTAAAAAGGCTAAAACCAAGATCGCAGCAAGAAATTAATTGCCTGGTATATTTGTAAATTGTAAGCGTTCAATATCAAACAAGATCAACAATGTGTTCCGTAAGATGTGCAGTTATTCATATTAGACAATCAGACAACTAAAGTAAACAATGAATAAGGTATCCAAGGTTGTCCAAATGCATTTACAGCAAGGTAAGGGATATCAAATCACAAGGATTCATCATTGGCTCAGACATTATATCAAACATGATATATGCGATCAACATTAAAACACATAATAATCCCTAAAGTATGCATCTTCCACTTGGTGCACCAATCAAACTATATCAGAACAAACATTCTCAACGTCAACAGCAAAATTTAAACAGATAACAATCCTTCAAGCAAGCATCCTCAAAACACAAGTGTGAGTTGTTAAGTACATGAAATTTGTAAACCGAACATCATACATCCCAAGTATGACTCATCAATTGTTAAATAACAGTGGGAAATTATATAAAAAACAGAAGCCAAAATTACCAAAAATGAGTTTCTCAAAAGCAATGGTGACCAGTGCTCTTGCTCCCCTGCCTGTTTTCTTTCTTTTTGCCCTTCTCAGAGTACCTCCCAAACAAAAGAATGGTAAAGAACCAATTCAACCCAAAAGCTTAAACTGTTGGTAGAGGCTACATTAATGACTTTATATATCTCAACACGCCCCTTCACACGAGAGCCCACTGGACTTGAAAGGTGGACAATGCACAGGCCCACCTACCTGTGCGAACAAATAAATTCCACTCGAAAGAAAGTGGGGGCAGTGAGGATCGAACCCGGGACACGAGGCTCTGATACCATGTAAAGAACCAATTCAACCCAAAAGCTTAAACTGTTGGTTGAGGCTACATTAATGACTTTATATATCTCAACAAGAATCTCACCAATACAAACTTTTTTGAAGAGAAAGATCACTCAAGCTTCCAATTTTTTTTGTAGGGATTTCCATTTTCATGCCTGCTTTGGCTTCTCGCTTCTTCCCAAGTTGTACCATATTCCATTTTTGGCTTGTGTGAGATGTTGTGATGCGAAATATTTCAAAATGGAGCATATTTTCTATTACATGTGTATAGAAAAATATTAGAGAATAATATAAATCATTAAAAAGTCTCTCACCAGTCACCAATATCATAAGGTCACAAGTTTCATCTTTACCACTCCACTTTCTAATGGAATTAAAATATTAAAATAAGCACGTAAATCAAAAATTAGACTTGTTCAATATCCATTGGCTCTTGTATGAGAAGGTATGTTAGAGAATAATATAATCCATTAAATTATCCTCATCAACACCTTAAAAGGGTGTGTTTGGTACGAGAGAAATTTTTTGGTGACCGGGAATCATGATTAATGGGAATACAGTAGAAATTGAGTTTACTTGGAATCTTACGAAAGAGGTGTTTGGTTCGCCAAAATATTACCGGGAATATTGGGTAAAATTTACTGATTCCATATTTGGTTTAGAACGAAATATGACTTGGAATATGAGGTTATTTTACAAAAATAACCTCAAACTATTTTTACTTTTGTAATTGATAGATTGGTTCTAGATTTTTATGTGTATTGGGGTATTTTTGTCTCAAAATTTATTGTTGTGTTTTCCCTTTACTTGGTATTCTAATTGGTATTCCGAATTACCATATTATTTTTGGTAATCTGAATAGTGACTTTTCTTTATAAATCAAATTACCGGTAATCCTTGGATATCCGGGAATCGTAATTTATTTCTTCTACCAAACGTGGTAATTACATTTACCAAAGAAGGATTACCGGTAATCCTCTCCAAAAACTTGAAACAAACACCCCAAGGGTTTTGGGTTGAATTGGTTCTTTATAAAAAAACAAGAATTATTTTTTAATCCAAGTATCAATTTTTGAATGGAAGTTGTAGGTATATCGGGTATACCGAAAATGCAATCGTTGTGACGAGAGACCCTACCTTCTAGCCATGCGCCGGGTTGCATGTTTGTGTAAATTGTCTCCATATTTTATTTTAGAGTAAACACTCTTTTTGGTCCCTGGCAATATCTACGAAATCCTTTTTAGTCTCTGACAATAAAAAAGGACCAAATTGGTCCCTAAAATTATGAAAAAAGGGCCACATTAGTCCTTATGTCAACTCCTCCGTCACTAACGTGGCCCTTTTTGCATACTGTTAGGGACCAATTTGGTTCTTTTTTATTGTCAGGGACTAAAAAGGATTTCGTAGATATTGCCAGGGATCAAAAAGAATGTTTACTCTTTATTTTATTTTAGATTATCCTTGTTATCGGTTTCTTATCCGGAGTTTGTGTGGTTGCTTATTTAGAGTTTGGAGTGGCTTCAGGTAAAATTTTAAATATCTTCCAAAAATGATATTGGGAGGATCAAACACTCCACGTGCTTAACTCTTATGCGTGAATTGAGTTATTATGTTATACGTCAACTGAACTATATTATCGTTTGATAAGTTGTCTCTATTTCATAGCTACATTGGAGAACATGAGTTATTGGTCTTTGTGTTGTTGGTTGAACCATGAATATGGATTAATGGATTTGATTTTTCTTTCTTCTTCTTGTTTTTTTTTTTTATAAATATTTTGGGCTATGTTAAAATTGGAATCTATCCACTCTTTTTCTTTCTTTTAATTTTTTTAATTTTCGTTGTATTTTGATTATTTTTTATTTTTTAATAATAATAGGGACAAAATTGAGTGTTCACACATGTTATCAAAAAAAAAAAAAAATCATCTTAACAAAAAATATCAATTGGAATCCACATGCACGAGTTTGCTAGCTTAAAATAATATAATAATAATAATAATATATTCTAGCTGTTTACAAACTTGGTTCAGGTAGCACGAGACAATTCGATCCTATGTTTAAATATAGCTTTGGTCCATTAACTGAAATGAAGAGGGGAAATTAATTCTCTTTTTTCGTAGAAATTGAGCCAGAATTCAACCTCACACGCAACGTTTATTTTATCCATATGACAACATCACTATTGTTGACATAAGAATACTGGTAAATGTCCTATCAAAAACCTCTTAAGCAATGTGATTAAACAAAATTAGATTACTGCCGCAAGTATAGAAGGAATAAATAATCATGAACCTACATTTAATTTGCATTAAACCGTTGAAAGTAAATTATAAATTAAGAGGTGGGATTATTTTACATAAGTGCAAATTACCCTCTCAATTATAAATTTTTTTATTTTTATATTGTTATAAGTTTATTGTCCCACACATGGTACATAATAAAGCATAATTTGTTTGCTCCCGGTGCCCGAAAAAATTTGGTGGGAAGGAAGAGATAGAACAAAAGAAGAGTTTCAGGAGGGAGATTTTTTTTTTGTGTCTAGGTGTCACTCCATTAATGGGATGACCACCAAAGGCCCGCAACACTCTAAATTTTTCCCATGTAATATAAATGATACTAAATATAGGTAGATTGGCTATGTTGGAGTATTATTGAAGCTTAGTGTATGTTGTGAAATATGCTATGAATGATATTTAAACGGTGAAAATGTGTTTAGAAAATCATTTGAGTCACCTTCATAATTTTGAGAAAAATCCCATGTGACCTAGGCTTGAATTCTTGCATTTTGGGCAATGTAGGATGATTGGCTTGCATTGATGGTGGCAATGTGTGTTTCTAGGTTGGGAACAAATGGACAAGTGGTTGATCGAGCATTGGAGGAGCCAATGTAGCTTGATTTTTTCACTTAAGTTAGTTCAAGTGAAGGTAAGTTCATGACCATATGGGTTGTGTATGAACTTCCTTGCAATGATGAATATGTGTTGATATTCACATGGTTGCAATTAATAATGTTGTAATATTGAATGCATATTTACCTTGTTGTTTAAATATATATTTTGGCAATTATTGATTGTTGTTGGTTGGATCAAGCTTGTGAATTGTGGTTTCTTTGATACTAAGAAACTAATTGGTAGGAAGCGATTGAGGTAAGATTTTGGATCTTGAGATTTATCCCTTTATTGTTTCACCTAGCCTGGTGGTGGGTTTTGGTTTATGTTGTTGATACAATGGATTGAATATAATGCATGATGTATAGTGTTTGTTATGTGGTGTAAGAAGGATTCTTACATGGGTAGGTTGCACGGTTGCATAATTCCTATGGTATGTTGCACAGTTACGTAATTCATACATTGTTCTTTGACCT